CCTGGAGATGGTGAATCGGCCTTTGACGGAATCAAGGTAATATACAGTTCCCCCACCGGTGTTTACATAAGCGACCCATTCTAGTCCCTTGCCAGGAGCCTGTCAGAACCAGTTCATATGGTAGCTGCTGAAGGTGAACCCAGAGGCTTTGCAGGAGAGTTTTTCTTTAGGGCGGAATCAGAAAGCACTGAAGGGCGATTACTATTCACAATTGATATTCATATTCGTGTTCACATTCCTATTTCTACTCAGGCTCCACTTCCCTTTTATACTCAGATTGTAAACTCAATACGGGTAGAGAGGTCTTATGGTCTGTGTTTGTCCCGTGCCTTGGACAATGGGATCCTAACCTATGATTGGAGACCTTAGGTGCTAGGACCACAACCACCGCCCACCCCACCACCACCAATAATTAATAATAAATTGTAGACGGAACTTTCTCCTTTTAGTGCTTAAAGATCTTTTGTGTCATGAAGGTTGCGGGTTTTAAAAATCCCATCCTCATGATGGAATTCTGAGGGACAATAATAATATTTCCTTTCCCAACTATATTCCTCTATCTATTACTTTCATACTGACACTCATATTTTCGTTCTCATCACATTCGGACTCACTCCTGTTGCCATTAATATCCCCACACCCATTCACACACGTCCTTAACGAGCAACCCTGGGGCCAAATCACTGTCTGGGCTGGATTGGTTTTTGAAGCAGAGAGAGCTGCCTCAATCCATTAGTTTTCTCTCAGAATCGCTGCCCTGTATGTTACAGTGCGACTGAGTGTAGCTGAAGGGAGACTCCAATGAACCGAGCTGCACAGACACTATGGAGTGATGGGCAATCAGGAATCTTGGCTGGGAATTAGAGACATAAAACCTGATTTTATTCCTGGCCTGGTCCTTCGGATCAGACTGTTGGAGATAAGAGCATTTGGAAGGAGAGTGGGGGGCGTGTATGTGACACTCTGTCTGAGTCCCAGATACAATTAAGAGAAACTTGTTTAGAATAATGGAAGTCCTGACGTTTAAAATGAGGTGGTGCCAATTTAGGGTTGGACTTTCACAGAAGGCTGAGGGCAGCACTGCGCCTATTTTAGTGGAAGCCGCGTTCTCTGTCCTTCCTGCCCCCGACCTCTCTCCAGCCCAGCTCAGCGTCTCCTTCTGCATCAGCCTTTCTCCGAGCGATTCCCGTGACCCCTGTCTTAGAATCCTTAGTCACATGACTGTCCCCAATGCCCTGAGCATTGGCCTGCTAAACCCAGGGTTGTGAGTTCAATCCTTGAGGGGGCCATTTAGGGATCTGGGGAAAAGATCTGTCTGGGGATTGGTCCTGCTTTGAGCAGGGTGTTGGACTAGATGACCTCCTGAAGTCCCTTCCAACCCTGATATTCTATATTCTATTCTATATTCATCAAGGGCAGAGGGGCGGGGTCTGTTATCTCCATGGTGACTCTATGACATTGTGGAACGTTATTGTGGGTTGGGATGTCTCAGCTCCACCCACTGACACCAGCGGAGAGTCCGGGCTGTGATTTCCACATGTCAGTTGGGTGAAAACAATCCATGAGCCGCTTTGGAAAGTCTCGCCAGTGCCACATTCCCAGACTAAGCGGAGTGGGGTTTATTCAGACGCTGGGTGATCTCTGTCCACAGCCCCGCCCGGACTCTGAATGGACCATTTGCATATCCCAGCTTCCATCTCTCTGTGTCTCAGTCTCCCCTCTCCGAACCAGGGGCTGTGATAGTTCCCGGGCTCCCGGCGGCGTTGTGGGGATAAAGGCATTAACCGCTTGTGAAGGGTGGAGACGCCACGGTGAGGGGCCCACATCGGTTATAATGAACTAATCACCTTCTGCTGCATTAATGCGATAACATCCCAGTCTGCTGAAAGGGCCAGAGCCTTCCTGCTGTAAATCAGGAGTAACTCGAGTCTAGCGAAAGCAGTTGCGGTGACTTTACACTAGCGGAGGATTTGGCCCAGGAGCAATTCGCTCCATCCGTTGAGTCTGATGCAAACCCCAATGCTCTTGTCCCATTTACACTGACAGACGCTGTCCTGTGAGTCTGACTCAGAGACAGGCCGCAGGAGAGCCAATGTGCCAGGTCTGCGAGGGGAGAGAGACTCAGAACAGGACTCACTCCGGATTGGGGTTCACAGATGAAGTGAGGGATCTCTGCACTGAAGGCCCAGCGGGGCTCTGGGCAGGACGGGGAGACACATTGCTTGGGAACAGAAGGGTTAAAACTGATGAGAGGTTTATGTTACATTCACCCAGTTGCCTGGTCTCCTGTCCGAGCCCGAAGCGGTGTGTGTGTCACTGCTTCCCCCGCGCGGCTGCCGGGAGAAGGGCGATTCCTCAGCCTGGGTTTTTGTATGATCACAAACCAGTTTCGTTTCACTGTGTCTCTTGCACAGTAATAGCGGGCGGTGTCCTCAGGCTTCAGGCCGGTCATTTGCAGGTACAGCTCACTCTTGGAATTATCCCTGGAGATGGTGAATCGGCCTTTCACTGAATCAAAGTAGTATGCAGGACTCCCACCGGGGTATATAATAGCAACCCATTCTAGTCCCTTCCCAGGACCCTGACGGACCCAGTGCATATAGTAGCTGCTGAAGGTGAACCCGGAGGCTTTGCAGGAGAGGCGGAGAGAGTCTCCGGGTTTTTTCACATCCCCTCCGGACTCCACCAGCTGCACCTGGGATCGGACACCTGGGAATAAAGACAGGCCATTAATATCGGTATAAAAATAGCGGTAACACAATATTCTTCTAACTCTGCCAGTTATTCAGAGGAGGAAAATACCTTCCAAAGCTGCTACTGCGAAAATTACAAGGAGCAAAAATCCCATTTTCCCGGGTGCTGGAGGGGAAAGTTCTCAGGGGACTGGCTGGTCACTGCACAGACCCAGGGGCTGCGGATTTTGTCTCCGGTTGCAGCCTGGGCAGAGAGAGGCACAGATTTAAACAGGAAACTGTCTCCCTCATTTGCATGCCCCCACGTTATAAGAGACACACACTCCTGCTGCCAGTGATCTGACTGACTCGCCCTAGGGCTCCGGGTGCGGGAGTCAGACTGTCCCGGCCTGTGTGTCTGTGCAGCGCCAGGCACAGGGCGCTGGGTCCTCCTGACACTTTCGGACTCCTGGGAGGAATGACCAGGTCCCTGCAGTGACTGTATTTCCTCACCCAGGAACTGAGGGCCTGGCTATTGTGAGGTGATTTGGGGATTGGGGGGGACTCAGCTCTGGAGCCCCGTTCCACGCACACAAGGGCCATGCAACGTCTGGTCAGGGGTGTCAGTGTCTGGGGAGGGGTCGTGTCCCAAGGATCCATCGGGCTGGGCCACCCGCTGGAGAGGGAAGATTTCCCAGGGCGCTGGGAGGGATTTGGAGGAAGCCACTTTCCCTTCCCAGCAGTGACTGGCTACATTGAAATGATCCATGACACTAGGGACGTGATCTGAGCAAGCCTGGCTCGTGCTTTGCATCAGGTCGGGGGCCTGCCTGTGGGTTCAGGTGGGAGAAGCTGGGGGTGGGAGTCTGACGACAGAGTTAAGTTTTGCAGTGGAGCCTCCCTGACATTAGTGGGCCGAGAGCTGCGTCTCTGGGAGTTTTTCTTTAGGGGAGAGTCGAGGGAGGATTCAGGCTACAGTGAATGAAGATTATTATGCGCGGTTGATATTTACATTCGTGTTTATATTCCTGTTCCCAGTCACGCTCCACTTCCCATTTACACTCGGATTGTAAACTCGGTGGGACTGAGAGAGGTTTTATGGTCTGTGTTTGTACTGTGCCTAGGACTGTGGGATCCTAGACTATAATTAATAACATAAGAACGGCCAGACTGGGTCAGACCAAAGGTCCATCTAGCCCAGTATCCTGTCTCCTGACAGTGGCCAATGCCAGGTGCCCCAGAGGGAATGAACAGAACAGGGAATCACCAAGTGATCCACCCTCTGTCGCCCATTCCCAGCTTCTGGAGAACCTAGGCACTAGGACCACAACCAGCGCCAAATATATAACCGCTAAGCATCGTAATCAAGATAATTTACTTAGTTAATTATTAATAAGCAATACAGTGTAGACAGAAGCTTTCTCCTGGTTGTGTTTAAAGAACTTGTGTGATATGAACGCTACGTGATTTTAAACCATCCCCAGGAGGTAATATTGAGGGATAACAACAAACAAAAACAACAACATTTCCATTCCCACTGACTTTCAGACAAGTATCAGCATTCACGCTGAGACACAGATCTCCATTCCCATTACCACTCATGTTCCCTTTCATATCCCCACACTCACTGGAGGGAGGGAGGGAGGGAGGGAGAGAGAGAGAGAGAGAGAGAGAGAGAGAGAATGTTCTCAGGGAATGTTCCATAGACAGTTGCACTGAAGGATACTCAGACGATGAGGGTGGGTGGGTGGCTGGCTCCATAATGCGCCATGGTCCTAGGCTCTCAGACTGGCTGGAGACCAGTTCATTGATGAGGCTAATAGAAGTGAGACAATGTACAGGGCAGGGAGTTAAATAAATCTATAAACAGACACTGCACAGCTCTATGGCATTGACCAACAGGGATTTGGGGAACAGCCTTGTTCCCTTTTATAGCTGCCAGGGTTTGTGTTTTCACCTCTCCTGCTTTCTATCCCCACACGGGAACTGAGAGGTGAACATGGGAATATTTGGATTTCTCTTTGGCAGATAATAATTCCTTTTAACCCATATCAGTGTCTGTAATAGAATAGTTGGGACCAAGTGAATCCCCCCACACCCAGTGCGGGACACCCCGTTCCCGGTATCGCCTCCTCCTGTGTATCTAGATCTGACTGAACAGCCGGGTTCATTTTCCTCATTTCAAAGGGAGGAAATTACTGTCTCCTGTGAGCTCCCAGCGCGCGGCCTGTCAGCATCAAACCAGCTGGGACTTTCTCTGGTAACTGCCACGGGAGGGTTTTGTCTGAGCTCAGACCGGCTTCGCCTCACTGTGTCTCCTGTACAGTACTACCGGGCCGTGTCCTCGGGCTTCAGGCCGGTCAGTTGCAGATAGAGCAGGTTGTTGGGATTGTCCCTGGAGATGGTGAATCAGCCTCTGACCCTGCGTTACCCTGGTATGTGCTGCTCCCACTGCCGCTGCTGTTACGGGCTACCCACTCCAGTCCCTTCCCGGTGGCCTGGCGGACCCAGATCATCCAGTAGCTGCTGAAGGTGAAGCCGGAGGCTTTGCAGGAGAGGCGGAGAGAGTCTCCGGGCTTTTTCACATCCCCTCTGGACTCTAAGTAGGTGGGACTACAATACATGGCCATGTCCCCTTGGGGGCAGGTGTTTCTTTACACCACAGAGGGGTAGTTCTTTCAGCTCAGCCCACACGTAGTGACAGGAGGTGGCTGTGAGAGGGGCGGGTTGGAGGAACCAGTAGACAGGGCCCCGGACTGGGACTCTGGAGAACCTGCTGGGCCAGGGATTTTCATGTGGGATTCACCCAGTGGGGAAAACTAACCAGGAGAGCTCTGTCCAGGGAGTGCTCTCTGATGGGCGGGAGAGCCACACACCCCCTTCATGTCAGAGGGTGTGATCCAAACCCTGATACAGTCAGCTGGTGTGTCTCCAGTGGAGCAGGGGCTAGTGTGAAATGGGCTGGGCAAATAAAATCAATACACGCAATGTACGGGTAGGGTCAGTAGAAGTGACATCGCCCTGGGAATCTGTGTTGGGGAAGACTCTGAAATGCCGGGGATAGAAATTAGAGAACGGTAGGACTGGAGGGGACCTGGAGTGGTCATCTAGTCCAGCCTCCTGCATTCAGGGCTGGCTCTAAGTTTTTTGCCGCCCCAAGCAAAACAATTTTTGCCCCCCCCCCCCTTTTTTTTGGCTTTTACACGTTTGCACTTTGCAATATTTATTGTTGTTGTTTTGTTTTGTTTTGTTTGACTGGGTGCGATACTGATGCAGCATTGGGCAACGACTGCATCGGAATCTGCTTGAGCCGGGTGTATCTGCCTGAATTTCTTATTGAGACAGAGGAGCTGAAAAGCCCCATGGGCCACTAGAGCGCCTGAGTATCTCGTGCGCCTGGGATATGTGCGGAGGGGAAATACAGACTAGAGAGGGACATTTCAAGAGGCTTAAATCTCCGCGTGCTTTGCTGCCCCGTGTCACGCCTGGGTCTCTTGAAGGAAGGCTACGGGGTTGTGCAGCCGCGATCGGAGGCTGAGCGAGAGCCCTCAAAAGGGGACAGTTATCTCCTGAGACAGCCCTTGGCTTTCCTGGGCACGCTCCGTATTTCAGTCTTACTAGGAGCTGGGCTGCTGCTTCTGAGCACTTTCTGCTACTTTCGCTCATTTCAAATGAGCCTGACGTTCCCCAAATCATTCACTGACATGGGTGAGGAGCGCGCCGGAGAATTGCCTGCTGTCCGACGGGTGCTAATTCTGACACTGCCACTTGATCAAAGGGTTGGGTCATTATCTTTAAAAAGTTGTGCCTGAATGAAAGGATTTCTCCCGGCTCAGATTCATTTCCAAGGGGGCAGGGGAGGGAAAGAAGAAGGGGGAAAGCCGGGCTAACCCTTGAAGGGGTATTTCATGGCACTCTCCTGGAGCATCTCCCTGAGCCCCACCCGCTGTACGGCAGCGTAGGGTTACCTGGCTGGTGGCACTGACGGTGTTATTGGCTGCTCGGGGCTTCCTTCCTGGCCCTGGTAAGTTCTCAGTGGCTTTCTCATTGTTCCTCAGGGGACTCGGGCTGTAGGGCTTTAGGAACATGAAGTCGCTCTTGGTGGACTCTAGGGTCAGGGCCACTGTCCGCCAGATCCAGGCAGTTGGTGGGCACTTTGTTGCTCGAGGACATTCCCCATCAGTTAAGAGGAGACGAATATCAATAAAAGCACCTTACAAAATACGTTTTTAGATCATTGCAGAAAACTAGGAACGGTTGCCCACTTCTCCAGTGCCTGTATAGGGAGAAAATACCTTCCACAGCTGCCACAAGGAAAAGTAAATGGAGCCAAAGTCTCATTTTCCCTGGTGTTGGAGGGGAATGTCCTCAGTGGAGTGGCTGGTAACTGCACAGACACAGGGGGCTGCAGTTTGTCTGTCCGGGTGTTGCTGGGACAGAGAGAAATTTAAACAGGAGACAGTCACCTATTTGCATATCCCTCTCCTTATTAGAGACAAACTCCTTCCCGAGCCATCTCATTTTCTTTTCCTGGGGGTCAGAGAAAATGGGCAAGTCTTTTCTCTTGCTCTGGGCCTGACCCAAAGCTCATTGAACTCAGTGGGAATCTTTCCTTTGACTTCATTAACCACTGGATGTGACACTCTGGTAACTATAATGACACAAATACCTATAGTCATATTTTCCATCCGTCTGTCTTACATACTTCTGGGAGCACCCATGACCATAGCATCTCAGCACCTCACCAGATTTAATGTATTTAACCTCACCACACTACAGTGATGTAACAAAATGTACTTTCTACCAAGCGGGGACCCAGGCACAAAGAGGGAGACTTTAAAAGGTATTTAGGTGCCCTAAAATGCAGTAAGGCACCTAGTGGGATCTACAAAAGTGTCCAGACTTCGAACCCCTCCTGATTTCAATGGGATTTAGTAGTTTAGGCGTCTTCAGAATGTCATTAGATGCCAATGTCCTTCTTTGGAAACCTAAATACCTTTCACAATCTGGCTCTGAGTTGCTCAAGCTCACACAGGAAGACTGATATTAAAAATAACCATGTTTGCCAATGTCTTCACCCATGGCTCAAAGGGAAGAGGCAGATCTTAATTTGGGCTTCATCTCAAAGTCATTGGTTTCCAGGCGAGTGGAACCTCAGTCGAGATGTCATTTTGTGGCTGCTTTTCTTTTGAAAACATTCACCAGTTATTTTCCCCGCAACGTTCCGGGGAGAATTGCCAGAGTCAAAGGGCACCTGCAGTTTCTATGCACATACGAGCAGTTGGGGGCAGTACGGAGTTGAAAAGTGACGTTTTCCAACCCCCAATGCCCCTTTTCAGTTTTGTCCCCAGGGCGGAGCTGTTTGCTCATTGCTGCCCCTCGCGGTGAATGGGAGAAGGGGACTCCGCAGCCCACCCTCTTTCTCTCGCTGCCCTCCCATATTATTCTTATGAAAACCACAACATGAATATTTTAATGTGTTTTGTAGATTCCCAAAATAGGATTTCTTCCCCATACGAAAACTCTCTTTTTGCCAGAAAAGCCACCTTTGGTGGAAACATTATTCCACTGAAAACAAACAAATACATAAACCCGTGTTGTGTTTTAGTGCCAAAAGCCGAGAGATCGGTGTCTTTCTGCAGGAATGTGTCACTGACAAGGTGACACTGAGCGAATCCCAGCACGCTGAATTAAAGAGGGCGCTCGACGGAACCGGAATGAACCAGTTTGAGGCTCTATGGCCTGTATTATGCAGGAGCTCAGACTAGTTTCTCATCCTGCTCCGCTCCGACCTTTATGTCTATGGATCTGTGACTCCCCGGCAGGTTGTGTGGGGGCTCAGCATTTGTCCCCTGGAGAGGAAAGAAAGAGGAAGGGACCCAACTAATGGGGCAGGGCTAGCTCAGTGGTTTGAGCATTAGCCTGCTAAACCCAGGGTTGTGAGTTCAATCCTTGAGGGGGCCACTTAGGGATCTGGGGCAAAATCAGTACTTGGTCCTGCTAGTGAAGGCAGGGGGCTGGACTGGATGATCTTTCAAGGTCCCTTCCAGTTCTAGGAGATGGGATATCTCCACTAATTTAATTTAAGAATGTTCTGTCCTTTGTGGGAACTTGTATAAATTCCTTCACCTTGTGTAAAATCAAAGAAGAGGAATAACAATAAAAGGGTTTGTTGTTGCTAGACCTTTTCCCAGAACAGATCTCATTTTCACTGACAGGCCTTGGGCGCCCCCAACACCAAAGTGCTTCTCTAATTACTGCAGGGAGAGGTTTTTGTCTGAGCTCAGACCAGCTTCCCCTCACTGTGTGTTTCGCACAGTGATACCGGGCGGTGTCCTCGGGCTTCAGGCCAGTCATTTGCAGATACAGCAGGTTGTTGGGATTATCCCTGGAAATGGTGAATCGCCCTTGAACAGCCGGCGAATACCACTGGCTCGATCCATCCGTATTAATCTGAGCCACCGACTCCAGCCCCTTCCCAGGAGCCTGATGGACCCAATGCATATGGTGGCTGCTGAAGGTGAACCCGGAGGCTTTGCAGGAGAGGTAGAGAGAGTCTCCAGGGTTTTTCACATTCCCTCCAGACTTCACCAGCTGCACCTGGGACCGGACACCTGCAAGTAAAGGAATGTTACGAGTATCGGTATAAAAACAGCAATAATGTTATAGTCTTCGGGCTCTGCCATTTAAGTGGGGGGAACAAAATACTTTCCAAAGCTGCTACAGTGAAAACAATTGCGATCTAAAGCCTCATTTTTCCTTGGTGCTGGAGGGGAAAGTTCCCGGGGGATTGGCTGGTATCTGCACAGACCCAGGGGCTGCGAATTGTGTCTCCGGGTGCAGCCTGGGCACACAGAGGCACAGATTTAAACAGGAAATTCTCCACCCCATTTGCATATCCCGCTCCTTATAAGGAACCCAAACTCAGGGCCAGCTCTAGGTTTTTTGCAGCCCCAAGCAAAAAAAAAATCGGACACTTCCCCCCCCCCCCTTTTTTTTTTGGCTTTTACACGTTTGCATATTGGGGCAATAATCGCAGAATATAATCACACATCAGCATGTTTAGTTGACTCTGGTGCTGCAAATTTCAGAGCAGAAACTCCAAGGAAAGTCTTTAGCTGCTGCTCCGCTCCTCCGCAGAGCCTTTCTGGACAGGTCTTTGCCTCACTGATATTCCCATCACCCGGACAAAGGACACAGGAGAGGACTGGGCTCTCCATGGCTCTAGCAGAGGCTGGACCTGGCTAATGTCCCCCCCACAAACACACACACAGACACTCCCAGCGCAGCAGCACAGTCAGCCACCCCTTCGCCTTCCTCTTCCCCCTCCCTTTTTCCTTTTTTCCCTTTGCGGTTTAAGGTTGAAAGTTACTGTGGGTTTTCCTTGTTCAAAACTCCTTCTTGGCACATGGTCAATTTCAGCCTTGTTTCCAAGCCTGGCCTCCTCTCCCATGGTGACAGCAGAAAGAGGTGTGGGGCAGCCGTCCCTGCAGCCACTCGCTGCTGAACTTTTCAACTTGACTAATTTCAACATTGGTTAGATCTCTGTAACCATCATATGTTTGCTGCAGTTTGATTGTTCAGACTTTCCATGAGTGGCATTGACAGATCAATGTATAGTAATAAAGTATCTCACTTCCTGTTCCTTGGGGAACTTTGATTTTTTTTTCCTGGCGCAATTTAATTTTCAATGAGCCATTTTCCTATTTTCTTCTTCGGAGTAAGTGATACATGTTCTTTAACAAGTGAAAGATCATTAAGTTTTAACAGCTTTGATTTACCTAGATGTTCGTATCAGCCTGCATGCATCTCCCAAGATCAGTTTGACTAATTGCACTGTTTTATTTCAGCTCAAAGAGGAGCTAAAGATTTTCCTTGGACTTTCTGCTCTGAAACGTGCAGCAACAGAGTCAACTAAACATGCTGATGTGTGATTATATTTTGTGATTATTGCCCCAATATGCAAACGTGTAAAAGCCAAAAAAAGGGGCGGGGAAGCATCCAAATTTTTTTTTGCTTGGGGCGGCAAAAAACCTAGAGCCGGCCCTGACTGAGTGTTCCCTGCACCATAGGCTGAGCTGGACCTGGTGCCGCCATGGGTGACACTGCAAGGGAATGAAAGGGTTAACACCTGCTAGCAGGTTCTCATTACCCCTATGCCCACCCTCACTGCTGTGCCTCGCGCAGAAATGTTTGTGGATCTGCTGCCCTCATTTGGTGACCGGGAAAGGGGGGATTCCGCAGCCTGGGTTTTTGTATTACCACAAGTAGGTTTCTTGTCACTGTGTAAAATAATATCACTTGCACAGTAATACCGGGCGGTGTCCTCGGGTTTCAGGCCAGTCATTTGCAGATACAGCTCACTCTTGGAATTATCCCTGGAGATGGTGAATCGCCCTTTAATGGAGTTTGCATAGCGTGTGGTGCTACCATCTGTGCTAATCTCAGAGACATACTCCAGCCCCTTTCCGGGAGCCTGACGGACCCAGCTCATCCAGTAGCTGCTGAAGGTGAAGCCGGAGGCTTTGCAGGAGAGGCGGAGAGAGTCTCCGGGCTTTTTCACATCCCCTCCGGACTCCACCAGCTGGATCTGGGACAGGACACCTGCGAATAAATAGACACTTAGAAAACAGATGTAGAACAATAAATCTTTTGCCTCTGTAATGTGTTCATGGGTAGGAAAATACCTTCCCAGGCTGCTACAGTGAAAACTAAGTGGACCCAAAGATTCATTTTCCCTGGTCTGACAGGGGCAAGTTCTATGGGAGAGTCTCTGGGAACAGCTCAGACCCAGGGGCTGCGGATTGTCTCTCCGGGTGCAGCCTGGGCAGAGAGAGACAGATTTAAACAGGAACCTGTCACCCCTATTTGCATATTCTCTTCCTTATAGGTAGGGTGACCAGACAGCAAGTATGAAAAATCGGGACAGGGAGTGGGGGATAATAGACGCCTATATAACACAAAGCCCCAAATATCGGGACTGTCCCTATAAAATCGGGACATCTGGTCACCCTGCTTATAGGAGGCTGAAATGTCTTCCTTTAGTGGTCTTCCTTATATGTGTAAGGGGACTGTTGCCCCCTTACTAACACTCAGTGGGGGTGTTTTGGTTGGCTGCTCCCAGCACTAAAAGGGGAGGGGTCGATGGCAAATCAGGAGCCTGAGACGGACAGTCCCCAGGGGCAATGGGGAGAGGCCAGTGCTCCAGGTTAGCTTGATTGACAGGGCGGGCAGCTAATCAGGGAGTCAGGAGGCCAGGGGGGTCCCGCCCTCCGTGTGAGCTGGAATGGCCTGAGTCAGACAGAGTGGGGCCGAGCTAAGGAGAGAGCAGGGGCCCGAGCTGAGCTGCTGGGAGCAGAGCTGCAGCCCCAAAGCCAGAGCACAGCCCAGAGAGCAGACCTGCCCTGGGAGCAGAGCTGCAGCAACCAGAGCCAGAGGGGCCAGAGAAGCAGCCCAGGGAGCTGGAGGCAGAGCAGCAGCAGCAGCCGTGCTGAGGCCGAGTGGAGCTGGGGCTGGGGCTGGGGCTGGAGCAGTCCGGAGCCGGGTGCGGTGAGCAGCTGGGGAGAGGAGAGGGACCCTGGGCAGTGGGCCCAGCACAGGGAGACGCCTCAGCCAAGAGGCTCTGCAGGCCAGACTTGGGGGGGATCGTAACCCCAACCGGGCAGGGGCGACACTGGGAAGAAGGGTCCTGCCACCTAGAGCCTGAGAGCGTGTGGCCACCGCCAGAGCAAGTGTCCAACCCGCAGCGTCTCTGCAGCACAGCCAGGGCCTGAGAAGGAGCCTGGGACCTACAAGGAACAGACTGTGAACTGCCCTGACGTGCCAGAGACACTGTTTGTGATGTTCCCGGCCACAGAGCGGGGTGATGTGTTTTCCTTTAACCTTTCCCATTTTTCCTTATTCTTTTTTAAAATTAATTGTTAATGAAACAACTTGTATTTGCTTTAAATTGTATGAAATAATCAGTGGGTCAGGGAGGTGCCCAGTGCAGAGAGAGTACCCCGAAGTGGGGACACCCTAGCCCCTGTCCTGTGTGACCACAGCAGGGTTGGGGGTCGAGACCCCCAGGAATCCTGGGCCCAGCCTTGTCGGGGTTTACGAGGACTCTGCCAGACAGGAGAGTGGAAGGGGAGTCCTCAAGGGCAGGGAGGCCTCTGGGTAAAGGGAGTGGGAGCGAGGACTCAGATCCTTTCGCTAGCCCACTTCACTGGGGTAGTGCAGAAGCCAGGAAAGTTCCCCACAATAGCGGGACCATTCCCCTGCTTACATATATCCTAGGGCAAGGGACAATGGTTCAGATGGTCTCCTTTCATCCGTGTGTGCAGCGCCCAGAACAGTGCGCTGGGATCCTGTTTATACATTTGGATAAGAAAAGATGAACCAGACGCCCGCACTGAAGACAATTTCCCTGACATGACCTCAGGGCCCGATTGCTGTCAGTTTGTATAGGGTGTGGGAGACTCAGCCCTGGAGCCCCCGCCCAGGCGTAGTGGGGCTGTGGTATGGCGGGTCAGTGGGGTCAATTCCAGGTGAGGGGTCGGGTCCCAGGGGTCCATTGGGCTGAGACACCCCTGCAGACAGAATAATGCCCTGGGGCGCTGGGGAGTAGCTGGGACTGAACCCCGGCCAGCCCTTTCCCAGAAGCAGCAGCTCCACTGACCTGGGCTCTGTCTGGTGGGAAATATTCCCCGGTAGCTTTCACCACACGGGACAATCGCGGTTCACTTCACCCCCCGGAGTTCCCTCGGGAATTGCAAGGAGAGGAGCGGGTGGAGTGAGGTGGGCAGGGCTCTGCTCTGTATTGGTGCTTTCTGCTCCCCTGCCCTCAGCTGTAAAACACTGGTCGCTCCACGGAAGTTAATGGATTCTCAAAGAATGTAAAACTTTTACACATGCAGGATAAAATGACAAGAGCCTTTATAATTTACCCTACGATTCCTCATCTGCTATTCCTCAGAGAAGATGAAATTCACTAGTTTTTACTTTAAATCTGACCAAAAACTTAACCCTGCCTGTGTGCCTAATGAGTGTATCCTCAACAAATCCGGACATAATGTTTATTTAAAGGCTAATTCTCACTCTAACCCACAAAATTATGATTTAATCCAAAAGCCCAACTTTAACCCTGGCTCTAATTATAACAGTAACTGCAAATCTTACCCCTACTGTAACATTGACTCAGACATTAAAGTGAATCTGGGCCCTAATACTTATATTTACCCATACTGAACCATTCCCTTACCCCTACCATAATGTCAACCTAATCCTACCTTTAAGCCTAATGCTAACCCTAACCCCAATCATACCTTTATCTCCAACCTTAACCCTATCCCAAACCCTAACCCTAATCTACTCTTATCTCTAACCTTAACCCTACATTTAGGCATAACCCTAACCTCAACACTCTGATTGATTCTGTTTTATGTACATATATTTTAATAAGGCTGAATTTTCTACTGTCGACATTTGGCTCAGTGAACTCTCATTGCTGGGAGGAGTGTGTGTGTGTTTTTCCCACTAGAAGCCCCAAGCGTTGGATTAATTGCAACATTCTGCGCACAGGGCCAGCCGCGTGGCAAGAGAGTAAAGTCTGGAATTGCAAGACCACTCGGAAATCAATTCTGGAGACAGCGAGGGAGCTGAGTGTTCTTGTCACTCTGGTGACAGGAAGTAGGATAGTGCTCTGTTCAAATTATTACCTATTTTATGTAAAACATCCGACTTCCTGGTGAGAGCGATGGATGCGAGAACGGGGCCGTTATTAAAGGAAAGAAAATAGATTGCCTACTTTTGTGTAGGTTCTCAGATTTAATCCTTTTACATTTTACAGACCTTTGGCTCCCCAAAAGATGAACACTCACTCAGAGGGAAAGTTTTTGTCTGAGCTTCTACTCCAGTGAGTCTCTCGCAGTCATACCCGGGTGGTGTTCATGTGTCAATACAGCAGGTCTCCGTAGTTGTCCCGGGAGATGGTAAATTGGCTTTTTACTGATTTGGTGTTATCTGTGCTGCTTCCAGAGCTGTCTATGGCGCAGACTCATTCCGGGGACCCAGCTTGTCCAGCACCTGCTGAAGGTGAACCGGGGGGTTTGCAAGAGAGGTGGAGAGAGTCTCCGGGCTTTTTCACATTCCCTCCAGACTCCACCAGCTGCACCTGTCTCCGGGCACCTGGGAATCAACACATGATAAGAATCAGGAGATACTTGACTGAGAAGATATCTCAGGAGTCTCCGCTATTCTGGGGGAGAAAATCTCCTCTGAGTGCGGCGAGATTGTGGAGGAGATGGAGCAAAAACCTCATTTATCTGCCTGGGTCGGGAGTTCTCGGGGGATTTCCTCTTTCACCCCCCAGACCCAGAAGTCTCTGGCTTCTCAGTGCCAGAGCTGCAGGGTCTGGGGAATGTCAGGGTCTAAGCAGGGAGCCAAGTAACCTTATTTGCATATCCTGCTGTTAGTGAGGGGCTGAGAAACCCAGCCCCTAATCGACATGAAATCCCGAGGTCGGAGCTCAGACAGGACAGTGACAATTCTAGAGAGTCTGGCAAAGGCTGTGTGACTTTATCCTTAATATGCTGCCTGATACTTGGTCAGAGAGTCAACATTGTGCTTAACAGAGAACTTGGAGTCCACTATCATTGTAAGGCAAATTTCCCTCCTCTGCACATAGGCCAAGCTTTCAAAAATAACTATTCTAATAGTGTCAAATTGTGTTCGATTTTTTGAGATGCCTTAGAAGGGGCTTCTGACAGGAAAGTCCCATTTAAGAATTCCAAGATGGGCACCCAAAATGTGAGAGATTTAAAACCACTTAAGAAAACACTGCCTATTTTAAGATGAGGGAAGACAGGCAAAGAGAAAAATGATTAATTTTTACAGCATTGAATTGGAACGTTTTCTGAAGCCAATTTTCAAAGGCACGAAGGGCAGTTAGACAGCCAACTCCCATGGATAGTGAATTCTATTTGGGCACCTCACTTGTGTTTGCCCCTTTCACAATCTCCCCTTGTTCCTCTAAAGCCAGGAAGGATGGTGAATGTGTTGCTAGGGATGGTGGGATGAATAATGCGCAGGCGGTGGTATGTTTGTTTTGCTGTGGAGCATTCACCAGTAGTGTATTTTGGTGTGACTGGTCACCTGATTACATGAGCTTCTCCTCCTATTCTATACTTAGCTGAAGTCAACTCTAGTAATCAAACTGCCCCATGTCTTATTGTGTAGGAGGTGCATGGGGGAGGGGTGTGCATCAGGACAGGCTGACATCCAGCCCACTGTGAGGAGAGTTCAACTGGACCACCATCTGCAGAGCAGTGGAGAATCAGGATGGCTCCTCTCTAACCAGATACATGGGTTTGAGGCGGAGTTCCTCTACATGAACTGTGCCTTGTGTCTGGAGGGGACATTACAACTGGGGTCACCCAGCGCACATCTAAAAATGGGTCTCGGTAAATCTTTATGTTTACTATGAAATGGTTTGTGTGAGGCTGAATGTGGGACATGGAGCCAGGGATGGGAGCAATGTAGGGGAAATGCTGTAAAAACAGAGCAGTCAGCCCCTGGAAAGAAGGCAGAACTAGGGCTGTGAAATATTAAAATCCCACTTCACGCTGATGTAGGGCTCACTCGGTGCATAGGCCCTTGTTCTGGGACCTCTTCACAAGGGATAATTTCACCCACAGGGAATTACAAGTGGGTTGAGGGGGGGTAGATTTAGCCGGCTAGGCACGTTGCAGGCA